TTGGGGAAAAAAAGTTTATATTTAACACAAAAATAAAATTAAGAAACACTTCCTCTAGAATCTAAACAACCCTTCAATTAGGCCATTTGAGTGGCAAATTAATTCCTTATGCCACTGTTTGCAATTCAATTTTAAGTCACACTTATAGTTCATTTCTAATTAGTCAACGATAACAATATGAGTAGGATCACTGCTACATACTCTTAATAAGCAGTACAAGGTTTAAGTGACAATCATCACTGGAATTTGGGAGCCTATGTTACTTTTTGGAATCCTGGTATGGCCCAATAGACTCAAAGTGACCTTGTATAGGGTCTCCAAGGAGCAGCTGAGTTTGAACAAACGACTTTGCGGTTCAAACTGACCTTGAGGTGGAGTGCTTATCCTAAGGTGCCACCAAGACTCAACAGCAAAAGTGGGGAACCTTCTTTCTACCTGGGGCCATTTGGATATTTATAACATCATTCAAGGGTGGTACAAAATTATCAATTAAAATATGCCTTAAAAATGAGCCTGTGGAGGCAGAGACGATGACATGGAGAGAGGGAACGGCTGGGGACTCTAAACCTAGAGAGGGAGAGGAGCTATGAGCTGACAACCAGGGCTTGCAGGGTTGGTTACCCTTTGGTTGGATGACGATGCTTGGAGGGGATTGTAACCAAGGCAATGAAACACAAGATAGAATGAATGTAAAGCTAATGTTCTCCCATGTAAACTATCACATAATTCACAATAACAAACATTTTTTAAAATGAGCCTGCTTTAGTTGATCAAATATTTAATTAACTCACTCCTGGTGTGGCACTGCAGACTAATGTATGCGTCAGACTGCAAAGTCGTTTGAACTGCAAGGTCGGTGGCTCAAGCCCACCAGCTGCTCCTTAGAAATCGTATACAGGGTCACTATGGGTCGGAATAGACTCGACGGCACTTAACAACAACAACAATGTGATGGCTAAGGAGCTCTGGTAGTGTAGTGGTTACCAACCGGACTGCTAACCTCAAGGTCAGCAGTTCGAAACTACCAGCTGTTCAGCGGGAGAAAGATGAGTCTTTCTGCTCCCGTAAAGATTTAGAGCCTCAGAAACCCTGTGCAGGGCTGCCATGAGTCACTATGAACCGACTCCACAGTACTTAACAATAATGTCATGGATGATGGAGTCCTGGTGTGGCACTGTGGGATAATGCACTGGACTGCAAGGTTGGTTTGAACCACAAGGTCAACGGTTCAAACTCACCAGCCGATCCTAGAAACCCTACACAGGGTGGCTATGAGTCAGAACCAATTCGACAGCACTTAACACTCGAAAATGTGATGGATGGAACTGTGGTTGCCTTGGTAGGACTAGAGCAAATGATTTCCCCACTCCTGCCCTATAAGATAAGCACTGGTCTTCTACCCACAAGGCTGGCAGTTCAAACCCACCAGCTGCCCCTCAGAAAGCCTATACCGGCTTGCTATGAGTCAAAAATGACTCTATAAGCACTTGCTGTATCAACTTCCACCTAAAACTCAATATTCTTAAAATTTCATCTTCCAAATCTCTTTCAACATCTCTTAATGTCTACTCTACCATCTTGGTCCAAAGGGCAGTCACCTTTCCTAAGAGTCCCATTGCCACTGACTTGATTCTAACTCATAGTGATTTCTGAGACTGTAAATCTTTACCAAAACTGAAAGCAAGCCTCCTCCTCTTCCCCCTCAAGGACAGCTGGTGGATTCAAATTGCTGATCTTGCAGTTAGCAGTGCAACTACAGGACCAGGGCTCTGTTTTCAAAGAATTAGTGAAATTAATTATCTAGTCAGTCTCCTTGTAGTATTATGCATCCTCTCTTCTAAACTCTCTTCAGTTTAACTCATTCTCCACATTGCAGATGAAACATTCTTCAAGGAAATATACAGTTAAGGTTCACTGTTTCTGGGATATGGATCAAAGATCCTTAGATCTAGTAAACGCTATACAACCTGGCCCTATCCACCTCTCCAACTTCATCTCATTGACAGAATGTCTTTCTCTTCTCAAATAAAAATGGAAACTGTCAATGAGGTGGATTGACACAATTTCTACAACAACTGACTTAAACATATCACAATCATGAAGACTGCACAAGACATATAATGCTATACGTGAAGCAATGCTACACATGAAGTCACTTTAGTTATGGTGTATTTGAATTATGGTGTTACAGAAAAACTGGAAGTACCATTGACTGCCAAAAGAATACAACTGTGTTGGAAGAAATACAGCCAGAATGCTCCATGGAAGCCAGGAAGACCAGACTTCATTTCTCAAACCTGGGACATACTATCAAGAAGAACCAGTCCCTGGAAAATGACAGCATGCTTGGTAATGTGAAGGGTCAGTACAAAAGAGAAAGACCCCCAACGAGATGGGCTAGCACAGTGGCGACAGCAATGGACTCAGGCTTAACAACAATTGTAAGGCTGGTCCAGGACCAGGAATGTTTCTTTCTACTGTGCATAAGGTTGCTATGAATTGGTACTGACTCAATGAAACATAGCAACAACAACTAACAACTTTGAGCTGGAGCAGACTTAAAGGCACCCAACAACAACGACTACCTTTAAGCACTTGACTCGAGGTCGGTTTGAACTGCAAGTTCGGCAGTTCAAACTCATCAGCCTCTCCTCGGAAACCTTATACAGGGTCACTATGAATCGGAAGAAAAAGAGAAAGACCTCCAACAAGATGGACTGGCACAGTGGCAGCAGCAATGAGCACAGGCGAAGAAGAGATTGTGAGCTTGGTCCAGGATCGGCTTGACAATACTTAACAATAACCACCTCTTCAGTGGTTGTTCTGCTTCGGTGACATCAAATCGGTTCCAATTCACGGAAACCCTGTGGAGGGTTTCGAAGGAGTGGCTGGTGAGTTTGAACCGCCGACCTTGTGGCTCAACTTGACCTTGTGGTCTAGTGAGTATCCTTACAGCACCACACCAAGACTCCTCCACCTCCTTTAGCCTGGCTAAATCCTAGACTAACTTCAGATCTCACCTTAACCATTTCTTCCTGCAGGAAGTTTTCTCTCATTTCCCAGTTTGGTCATGTCTCAAACATCTCCACCTGCCCCCTCCCACACCCGACCAATTTCCCATTTTGACAGCATAATTGACTTCCTATGTTACCACTTTGTAGTATAGTTTTGTATTTATTCATGTAGTGCATGCCAATTTTCACACTTTATGTGTAAACAGTTTTGTTTTGTTTTTAAGACATGCAATGATGACCCCTAAGGTGGACAGGTAGTGCAAATGGTTAATGCACTAGACTGCAAACCCAAATGTGGGAGGTTTGAGACCACTCAGAAGTGTGTTAGAAGAAAAAGTGTGGTAATCTACTAATACATAAGCCACTGAAAACTGCATGGAGCACAGTTGTATTGTGACACATAAGGGGTCACAATAAATTGGAATTAACTACACAGCAACTGTCTTTCATGGCAATTTTATGTAACAATAAAATAAATTATCATATACTAAATGGCCCACATTGGAATAGACAACTAATTTTAAATAAAAGTCTCCACTTAATACCTTACATGAAACTCTTACTCTTCCTGTGACTATATGAATATTTGCAGCAGAAATTTTATTTTCACTGGAACTAGACCTACATATTTCTGGCATCCCTAAAAACCAACTGGCATTTCTGGTTTAAAGAAAAGAAAAACCTTAGCCTAGGTAAAATAATTTAAGTAGCATGCTCTATGCCAACCAGCTAATTCATTATATATCTTGTACTATTTGGCACCTGACAACAACAACAACTTACGTCATAAGGAACTCTGGTAGCATAGTGGTTACGAATTGGGCTGCAAGCCGCAAGGTCAGCAGTTCGAAACTACCAGCTGTTCCGTGGGAGAAAGATGAGGCTTTCTGTTCCCGTAAAGATTTACAGCCTCGGAAACCCTGTGCAGGGTCGGAACCGACTCCACGGCACACCACCACTAAGTAACTGTGTGAGTTTAGTCTTGTCATTTAACCAGCTTGGACTCAACTGATAAATCATTATTATCTTACCAACCTACACCAGGATCACCTTACCAGCATAAGAGTCTCCAATGGCCCTTCCAAATCAAAATACTTACAGACTCATCCAGCATATTTGAAATAAACACGGCCTAGGGTAAACAGTGTGGGTAGAGTAGGTGAATTATAGTTCTTAAACTGAGCGTCTACATCATCTAGAGAATACACTGAGATCAACTGTCTTGTGCTTTAAAAGTTGTGAACTCACACAAGCCATGCATGCTCTTGTCTTAAAAAAGATACACAAAAACTGAATATACAATTAGCTAACGTTGTGTGCCAAGTCGGTTTCGACTCATTGTCGGTTCCAAAATCGGCTGCTGAGTTTGAACTGCTGACCTTGCGGCTACCGGTATTTACCAAAAATCCGAGATTCTGTACCACTGGAACCATACCTACCAGAGAAATCAAGGAGCCATTAGAAAAACCTCAAGACATGAGAGATGTCCCTAATAGACTAGCTTTCCAAAGCAAAACAAACAAAAAAATCCTTTCCCTCCAGCTATGCAGCTGCGCCCACAAGAGAGAAGCACTAGATTAGCATCATCTGCATTTCATTCCTTTTCTTTTGCAATCTCAATTCGCCTATAATAAACAGACCTTGTACTCAGGAGAGAATTTACTTCCCCGTCCAGTAAAAAATTAAGTTCCTTATTTTCACTGAGAGCGCCTTCTGCAGTCAACACCCACCCTCCCTGGGGAGGGCAGGCGCACTCCGGTCCCCGCCACCCACGGCAAGCTGACGCCCCACACCTTAGAAATCGCCCCACTTTATGAGCCCCTCGGACACGAGCCCGAGGCTCCGGGAGGAAAAGAACGGGAGGAGGGTCGTGCAGCTCGGCAGGGACGTCCAGCCCGGCCGGCGAGAGCCAGGCTGCCTCGGTCAGCGAAGAGGGGTCGGGAGGCGGAAGGGTTAGCGGCGAGCCCCACGCCATCCCCCACTTACCCACTTTGTCCTTCCCGTACATGTGCCCGGCCACCTGATGCGACAGGGGTACGCAGCCGTTGAGGAAGCGCAGCCTGCCGTCCGCCGGCTGCGGGCTACCCTCGGGGGCGGCCTCGCTCGCCGGAGGGGTCCGCATTTCGGGGGTTCCGGGAGCTTCGAGCCGGAGGGGGGATGGAGGCTCAGTTGCCATAACGGAGAGCTGAAGCGGTGACAGCGGCGGAGGTAAAAGCAGGCAAAAAAAAAAAAAGGGAGGAGGAAGAGTGTGCCCGAGAGCCGGGGGTCGCCAGCTCAGGCTCGGCCGCAAGGAGGCCCGGGGGTTCCCGCCGCTGGTGCCCGCTGAGGCCCGGCGAGGGAGCCCATGACGCCGCCTAAGCGCGGGCGCTCCCCTGCCCAACTCTCGGTGGAGCGTGGCTCCCGCTTCTTTGCTGCCGTGGCCGCCGGCCCCGGCGCAGCCCTGGAGACAGAACCGAGCCGAGCAGCGGCGGCGGCGTCGCCCCGCGCTCCCTGAGGCCCTTGACGGCGACACCGGACCCGCCTCCCGCGCCCCCGCCCCCTCCCGCCGTCCTCCAGTCCCCTCAGCAGCCGCGCGCGCGTCAACGCCGCCAGCTCCGCCGCCGCTGCGGCCGCTGCGAGCTTCCGACTGCGCGACCCGCGGCCGCTGCCGCCACTGAGCATGCTCAGAGACTCCCGACGGGACCCCCGCGGCGAGGTGGGCGTGCAGCGGGGCCCGGGCCTGAGGAACACGGCTTGGATGGGTCGCGCAAATTCAAGGCCCTTCTTATCTCCTCCCGTCCCCCACATACACCAGGGGCTGGCTTCAGGATACCAATGATGCTGCTGACCGTCATTCATTCCTCTCGCATTTCAGTGGTTTTGGCTTAAAGGACCGATCACGTGCTTGGAGATAAGGAAGGCAGAGCAGTGCCAAAGTGGCTTGGGACATCACTGCTAATTTCAGTTACCTCTCTCCACCTCCCACCACGCACAACACGCTAGAGGTAAAAGCAGGTAGCTTGTTAGAACATGCATTTTTAGAACATCTTTCAAGTTAACCCAGGTCCGCCTGTCTAGATTGTCACCTATTTGGAACCGATATTACCCTGAGTGTAGACTGAGCATAAAACTAATACTTTTTAAAGTGAGCACATTTTTCATGAAATGAGCAGATTTTTAGACTCTTCCACCTGATACTTAGTTCAGGTTCCAAGGTCCTCAGTCGATGACTAATCGGGTCAAAGGTAGAGGGATGCACGCTGAGAGCTAAGGGAGGTTCTGGAATGGTACTCTGTCGTTGGTTCCTGTTGTGCCTGTCACTGAAACCTTTTGTGAAAACTAGGCCTGACCTTGAAGTTAGCGGTCTGAGCAAAAAAATGTTGGGTAAAATCCTAGATATCTGATTATAGCAAAAATCCTACTAACACTTGTCCTCTCTGCCCCTAGAAGCGCATACACCTAAAGGAAACATAAAATTTGGCCAGGACTCCAGTTCCCAGGGCTTTGCCTCAGGGCCCCCCAGGCCACGCCCCTCAGGGTTGCGCAAACTCAGTTGCTACCTCTCGAGTCCTCTTCCCCCTTCAGTGGCTGTCAAAATCCGGACTTGAGATTTCCTTAAGGTCCGGAACAGAGGCTCCGCGCATGCTCAGCATTAACCAGCGGCACTAGCACACACGTGCTTAAGGCCCGCTGCAGCGCTTGCGCGGTAGCAGCCGGGTTTCTGCCCTTAAACAATCCTCGCACCTTTATTCCCGCTGTCCGCGCCAGCCCTGTTTGTTCTCTGTATCCTGTGCACACACCTTGCAAGCGACGACACCATGAGTCTGACTTCCAATTCCGGCGTACGAGGTGAAGTGGGGTTTGGGATCGGGTGAGGCTAGCGGCCTGCGCACCTGCGGCGTTCTCGGCTTCTCGCAGGGTTGTTACGGTGCTCTGCGCACTCGCGGGTGCTGTAACCTTGAGATGCAGAAGGGCAAAGCCCAGCAGCGGGCTCTTTGCAGACTGGGAAAGGGGCCGAGTGTATGGATTGACGGTGTCACAAAGTAGAAGTGACCAGAGACAATGCGGATATCTACGCAGAACTGGACCGTGTCTACTCTAACACTTACATTTAATAACCCAGCTATCTTTTCTTCTTCTCCCCTTGTTCTCAAGGGGAGGATTGTATCCCTTCTCAAGTTTAAGTCAGCGTGGAATCAGAATGTTGATTTCGCAATATTGAAGTAATGCATGACTAGTCTGATTTTAGTTTTGTACTTTTCTTTCTTTCTTTTAAGAGACGAAACTCAATACGAGGTTTCCAGTTTTCCCAGTTTTTTTTTTTATTATGCTCCTGGCATCTGGTGCTCGGTTGCAGTAATTCAGGAGAGATGATTGAAAACCGACCTTGTTGAACCTTCAGCTCTCAGCCTTGCTTCTCTTCTGCCAGTACCTAGCGTTTAAAAACAACACCTCGCATAAGGCCCAGTTAAAATTAGGATACTTTATACTAGTCCTGATGTGGCTGTGAGATAAAGCACTGGGCCAAAAGGTGGGTTTGAATCACAAGATCAGCAGTTCAAACTCACCATTCGCTCCCTGGAAACCTTATACAGGGTCGCAATGAGTCGGAACTGACTCGACGTCACTTAATAACAACTACAACATAGAAGTCGTGTGTTGTGAGATCCACTTCATAATGATACCTGTTGGTAATTTAAATGTTAATGTAATACTGTGCACAAATTACGTGATGTATATAATCTCTCTGCCAGGTATAAAATGCCACACTGTAAGGATTGGTTACCTGTAACAGTAGTTCAGTAAAGGTAAAAAGATTGTGCAGAAGTTAAGTAGAAATAGCCTGTTGATTCATTCAGTAAATACTGAGAATCTGGTTGTTATTAGGTGCCATCGAGTCAGTTCCAACCTAAAGCAACCCTATGCACAACAGAACCAAAGTCCGCCCAGTCTTGTGCAGTCCTCACAGTTGTTAGGCTTCAGCCCTTTGCTGCTGTCACTATGTTAATCCATCTCATTGAGGGTCTTCCTATTTTTCCTTGACCCGCCACTGTACAAAAAAAATGTCCATCTCCAGGAACTGGTCCCTCTTGATAATATGTCTGAAGTATGAGAGAGGAAGTCTCGCCAGCCTGGCTTCTAAGGAGCACTCTAGCTGTACTTCTTCCAACACAGATCTGTTTGTTCTTATGGCACTCCATGGTACTTTCAATATTCTTCTCCAACACCATAACTCAAATGTATCAGTTCCTTTACCGTATCCATTATTCATTGTCCAACTTTCACATGCATAAAAGTACCATAGCTTGGGTCAGGCACACCTTAGTCCTCAAACTGTTACCTTTACTCTTGAGCACTGCGAAGAGTTTGTGTGAAACAGATTTGCCTAATGCAATACATCATTTGAGTTTTTCGTTGTTGCTTCCATAAGTGTTGACTGTGGATCCAAGTAAAATGCAGTCTTTGACAACTTCAGTCTTTTCTCCGTTTATCATGATGTTATTTATTAGTGCAATTGTGAAAGATTTTTGTTTTCTTTACATTGAGCTACAATCCATACTGATAAGCATCATTATGTTAAGTCCTCTTCACTTCCAGCAAGCAGTATTATACAATCTAGAGTGCCCAGGTAATGTATGTAAAAGGTCTCTACCAACAGTAGTCTTTATTTTGAAATAGAGTAGTAGATTTTATAAGTTACAGAATTCACTTATTTTGCCAAAACTAACCTGGCAGAGGAGCAAGGGTTATTATAATCTTTGACATTTTTAATTACTAATGAAAGCTACAGCACTTAACAACAACAACAACGAGAGATAAAATGAGGCTTTCTGCTCCTCCAAAGATTTACAGCCTAGGAAACCCTGTGAAGAGTTCTATGAGTCAGAACCAGCTGAAAAGCACTTGAAAACAACAATGAGGGTTATGCGATGTTTCTTTGCAAACATTTTTTCAAGGATATTTATCTTGAGAATCCTTTTGTGATTTTTATTTTTGTTTTTTCTTTTTTAAATTTCTCAAGAATAAGACTACTATAAAAACACGTTACTGTTATCTGTGCCATTGATGGTTTTAACTTTATAGGAAAGCTGCGTGTGCAAGTGTAAGATGGGCCAAAAGGCTCCAAGACTTTTTTGTTAAAAACATGTGGTGTAAATTAGTAGTAAATTACTTATGTAGTCTACTATTAAAATACGAAATAGGTGAACCCCTAGGACTTTTTATTACCAGCTACAATCTAATCTTCCTGAAATCAAGACAAGTGTTTTGTTTTTTTATAACCATGGGGACATAAAAGGTGACTTACCCCTAATAATTTGCTGTTTTCTTATGGATAGGAAATGGCTTGGTGAAGCAGATTCTTAACTTACAGATGAAATACTCAGCTTACCTATGAGAAGTAACGACTCTTCACTTCACCTAAAAACATAAAAGTGGTTTGTGAGGAGTGTATCCCTTGCAGATCTCTTCTACTAGCACCTTCCTCCTCAAATACAGTAGTAAGGCAGTGTTTTATAATTTAAGCTTTAAATCTCATTAAAACTTGGTTTTCCTCTTAAGTTTTAAGCCAGTTAGTTCCCAGTAGTTGATAATCCACTTATATCTCTTCATTTTGGTGGCAATAGAGGAATATGATCATGTCTCTTCTCAATTAACTGAGTTAGCAACTATGAAGACCTTAGGATGATCCCCAGCAGTGGTAAGCACTGTAGAAATATTTGCTAAATCAGAAATAAAATAGTATTTGTGTGTATGTACAGAATTCTTGTTTGTATTCTCAAGAAAAAATAATGAGTGGGGTATTAAAAAATAATAATAGCAATAATCTAGGCAGTGAAGATGAAATACAGTCAAAGATTCTGGTCAGTGAGATGTCTCTTAATGCCAGTTTGCGTGAGTGATTTGCTAAAAGGTAATACAGAAACAGCTACAACCATACGATAGAGAACTTCCAGAGGTTCAAGCCAGATTCAGAAGAGGCCGTGGAACGAAGAATATCATTGCTGATGTCTGATGGATCTTGGCTGAAAGCAGAGAATATCAGAAAGATGTTTACCTGTGCTTTTATTGACTGCGCAAAGGCTTTAGATTGTGTGGATCATGACAAGCTATGGACAACATTGCGAAGTGTGAGTATTCCGGAACACTTAATTGTGCTCCTGAGGAATCTGTACTTCAACCAAGAGGCAGTTGTTCAAACAGAACATGGGAACACTGAATGTTTTAAAATTAAGAGAGGTATGCAACAAGGTTGTATTCTTTCACCGTACTTATTCAACCTGTATGCTAAGCAAGTCCGAGAAGCTGGGCATCAGGATTAGAGGAAGACTCTTTAACAACCTGCGATATGCAGATGAAACAACCTTGCTTGCTGAAAGTGAAGAGGACTTAAAACATTTACTGATGAAGATAAAAGAGCACAGCTTTTGGTATGGATTACATCTCAATGTAAAAAAAACAAAACTCCTCACCACTGGACCAATCAATAAACAACATTCTTATCAATGGAGAAAAGATTGAAGTTGTCAAGGACTTCATTCTTCTTGGATCAACTATCAACACTCAGGGAAGCAGCAGTCAAGAGATCAAAGGATGTATTGCATTAGGCAAATCTGCTGCACAAGGCCTTTTTAAAGTGTGGAAGAGCAAAGATGTGAGCTTGAGGATTAAGGTGTGCCTGGCGCAAGCCATGGTGTTTTCAGCAACCTCATGTGCATGTGAAAGCTGGACAGTGAATAAGGAAGACCATAGAATAATTGATGCCTTTGAGTTACAGTGTTTGAGGAGAATATTGAAAGTGCCATGGGCTGCCAAAAGAACCAATAGATCCGTTTTGGAAGAAGTGCAGCCAGAGTGTTCCTTAGAGGCCAAGATGGCCAAACTTCGTCTCTCATACTTTGGACATAATGTCAGGAGGGACCAGTCGCTGGAGAAGGATATCGTGTTTGGTAAAGTGGAGGGTCAGAGAAAAAGGAAGACCCCCCAATTAAATGGATTGGCCAAGTGGCATCATCAATGGACTCAATCGTGGCAACAGTAATGAGGTTGGCCCAGAATCAGGCAGTGTTTCGTTCTGCTGTGCATAAGGTCGCTATGGGTTGGTACTGACTCAATGGCCCCTAACAACAATTACAAGTTTAGTATCGTTTCTAACTTTAACCTTTTCAAGACCAAATTACTTTATCCTTTGATCTTTTTTGTTGTTTAAGCCATGTGTTTTCAGTAATGGGGTGCATGTTGAACAAAATGAAAAAAGAACCCAAACTTTTTTATATGCAGTTAGTGTGACACCTGTGTATTTAGGAGTATATGTTGCTGGGGTTGATGGAATGAGCCCCGATTCTTCAGATTTACAGTTACACAGACCACCAGCATGGTCCAAAACGGAAATAACAGTTTTCCACGAAATGCCAGAGGGCGATAATGTCGGTGGGCACTATATATCCCATGATCACAAAAAGGTTAAGTGGTGTTCACTGCCTTGGAGTTGCCAGTTTTCATGACTCCTCATCCTCAATAGATGACCCTTAGGAAACTTCCAAAAGTTCCTACTCCAAAACTCATTGAACCTGCTTTCATCTTTAATTCCTTCATTTCTCTTTCCCAGGGAGAGATCAACTCTGAAACCTTTCTTTCACCATTTTGCTCCAAATACCACTGACTTTTGTTTCCTTAAGCATTTGCCTTACAATGATACCTATTGCTCTAAACTCATGAGCCCCTGGCTCACAGAGCTGCCTTCTCTTCAGTCTGAAGTCTCCCATATTCACTTTAATCTTAAAAAAAGAAAAGAAAAATCCTAAATGAAATATTTGTAAAGGCTTTCTTTAACCTACCTTTCCCTCAAG